CTTTCTCAATATTTAACACTGCCTAAAAATAATTTAAAAACATTCCTTCTGATTAATCAAAAGTACATAGTACAAAGCTATTCAATCTTGATCATTTTAGCATAGTTATAGACTTGGAGTAACACAAGATCCTACAGAAATAAAGGAGAAAGAAAATCACAACACAGAACTTCAGCCTTTTCTTTCTCAATATTTAACACTGCCTAAAAATAATTTAAATACATTCCTTCCAATTAATCAAAAGTACATAGTACAAAGCTATTCAATCTTGATCATTTTAGCATAGTTATAGACTTGGAGTAACACAAGATCCTACAGAAATAAGGAGAAAGAAAATCACCACACCGTTGTATCCTGTTGCCAGTCATCAATTTTGCTCTTAAGGTCAACCATTCTTAAGACCATGTTCATCCCACTTATCAAAACCCTTTTTAACCCAGTGTGGTTAGTATGATGTGACCTGCGGGCCAACATATCATGTTAAAATGAGGTCTGATTGGATAATTGCCACATTAACTTGATGAGCCTAAACTACCTCTATAAATTGATTCATCTTAGCCCAGTTTATGATATTAGATCCATCCACCTCTAAATTAATTCAATTCTTCTCTCACATCTAATATGAGACTAAAACAGAGTATTATAAACTCCCCATACTAAAGGTTTGGTGTCCTTGTCAAAGCCTAAATCATCGCCCAGTAATGCTCTAGCTTGACATATGATATTCAGTTTAATAGTGGCTCCACTTAATGATGTGTTTCCAGCTATATACGTAGGTTATAGGTAGTCATCCCTACTTGGTGCCTCACCAAGCTTCCTAGTTATGCTTTTATACCATTTACTATGACTTGATTGAATGGTATTATTGATCCTTTAACTTGATGAACCTGAACCACTGGTACAAAATGTTCCAATAGAGTCATTTAACCTATAAACCAATAGAATGGTCCTTCCATATCCAATTTGAGACCAAACTAGGGTGTTATATATCGGGTTTCCAAGAGAACCACATAGGTTAGTTTTTGGGTCAGAACTTTGGTTACAGAACCTTATCCTAGTACAAAACATAACATATGATTCTAATTAGCCTCATGATAATAGCTCTACAGGTGCATGCAATGCTAAGTCCACTCATTTCAATTATACACACATCTTGGAATGAGAACTAGCTCGACTAATTTCACCATGAAATACTTACAATTTGTTTTATAAGTTCACGAGATTGAACTCATGGAATATCTAGAAATGTCTCATTATGTTATTGTTGGATAGCTTGAAATTTTTAATCCAGTTTAGTTCTATCTTTGTTTTCAAAATCAATTAGTGGTTTTATATAATTTCTTGTTCAAAATGGCACACCAACAATTAAAACTAAAGTAAAAGAGTTAGTGTATGCTTGGTCCTGCATGGACCTCCTGATCCACCTATGCCTATTAATGACGATCACATGTTTTATATGTTACAACACTCCCCTAATAATTTAAGTACTTGGTGTTCGATCAGTATTCCATGTTGACACTTAATATATGTATAAAAGATTGTTAGCTGACATTTCTAAGTATGCATTCCCTCCTTTCAGGTTATATGCTCACTTCACTCCTAAAGTCCTCTAGTATGAAGTTTGAATCAATTAGATTGTCACACTTTCAAGCTAAACATTAGAATGTAACTGATTTAGCTGACAGGACCCTTGCATAATGCATATGATAAAGTAAATGTAGTCATACCTTGCATAAATAATGCATCAGTGTCATCTTATTGTTGGTGGAACGAGTATCAGTAAGTTTTAGAAGACTGTCCAGGTGGAAACCAATAGCTGAGCCTGTAAAATTAGATAAAATGCTATTTCAAACTGAAAACAACTAAAAAGTGGAATGTAGCAAACCTAATCAATTCGACAAAGAATTGGATCATCTCTATTTATTAGACCATCCATAAATGTTCCAGAAATAAACAAGAATGATGAATAGATAATATCAAGAGTACATGAAAATAAAGCTACCTCTTGCAGTTCCTTGGTTTAATGTGTTTCCAAGGTACAGAATTTTCTTCATTATCTCCTTTAATTTGGCAGAACTGCAAACCTGACACGCCATACCTAATGTAACCACTGTAAACATAGTGATTAAGATGATAAATGCTATTTCTCATGATGTACCTGTTCACAAACAGAGTCTATAGTGTTTAAACTCTTTCTAATATCCAAAACCTGGAGGAAAAAGGCAAAAAAGGAATACGATCAGAGCCTGCCATTAATTTTCACGATAAATGTAACAGACTGTCATTAATTTTCATGATAAATATAACAGCCTATCATTAATTTTCGATAAATGTAACAATAGAAACATGCCGTGACCTGTGAGCCAAACTGAATCTTGAAAGAAAAAACTCTTAGTTTCGACTCCACACGTGGAACTTTCATCAACTCTAGAAAATACTGCAGTGAACACCAAGTGGTATAAAAGTAAAATAATTGTCTTTAATAATATAAAAAAGTTGAATAATTAGAAAGAACAGACACAGTAAATTAACAATAGCAGAATAGTTCTAATATGTCACCAATCTCACAGAAAATCCGTAAATAAGCTTTACAAGACTTTTCATATATTAAGGTGTCTGTCTGCTACTTCAGCTCATTTATTTATCAAAATCAAGGCAAATACATAAAACATGGATAAAAAAGACTGAGTTTAAAATTGAAACTAAAGAAAAGCAATTTAAATTACTTGGGCCAGAATATTGCACAGACATTAGTTTCTCATGTAATGTCGTCTCAGTCGAGGATAAACTGCAGCAAACAGACATTAGACTCCAGAAAGATTTCCTGGTTAATTTGGTTTCAACTGTAACATGACTGAAGGTAGATAAGGATATATTATAGGAATAATCCCAATGCTCAGGTGGCACATCTATGGATATATGTGAAAACAGGACCATGATGCACTGAAAGACCAAGTTATAAAACACTAAAATAGAGCAATTAGTAGCAATTTCAGCTCCACCTACTCCCATAATAATATATAGCTTGTCAATTCAGTGGTTGACCATGTATTAACAACACAAGCATCAAACTTACTATAGTGGCTTTACAGTGTTTGGCAGGCTAATTAAATGTCCTGATTTATTTTTCGATCTCATATCATCAGGTGAGCCTTCCATGTGATAAAACTTAAAGTAGCAAGAAGAACTGTATTATTGTTTATGCATATCACTATTGGATAAACAAGCTGATTTTAGGTACAAAACCAAATGAGGCATGAAAAATGTCACACTACTTTACACTCTAATTTTACTTTTATAAACACCAAAATACTCCCTATTTTTAATCACAACAGGATTCTGGGATTTAAAACCCATATAAATGACCCAAAGCCAATATTCAAATCTTGGTCACCATTCCATTCTTAAAATAAATTATTATAGCAGAATATCCCTGGAGATATCAGATCACATAGTGAAGTATAATGTACCTGCTCACATTTACCAAGCTGGTCCTTGTCTCCAGTGTACCCCTAAAAACCATAAAACAGAAAAGGAAAATTTTAGTGACAAAACAAGGTGCAGTCTTTAGAACTATGAAATCTGAAGTTTACCTCTTAAGTATAAAATTCCTAAAACTATATTCTTGCACTTATATCCTCTATAGGACTGCATTTGAAAATTTTCAGGTTACATTTATACTTTATCATATTAACATATATAGATTATTAGGAAAAGGGGTATTAACAAGACGCACCTTCAGCAGCTCCATTTCCTCTTTGGTTGGACAAAATTTGATCATATTTTCCACTTGATCCACATCTAAAATAGAATCATCCATTGCAAGAGCAGCACTCTGGGTAACATTTAACCATTAATTTTCAAATTGAAGAAAACAAAACTAGTATTTTTCAATTATGAATGGCCTAGTTTTGAGAGTAAATTTGTGCTCATGACCTGAATCATTATAAGTAGATGTTCCCTCGACTTTATGCATGCATGAGGGAAATTAAACACATGTTGTATGCCTATACATATAAGTTGTGTGTTGTGTGCAACACATATCACCATGTTGATGCACATTAGTAAATACACATGCTGTCCATGACTACCTTTTGAAAGATAAATAACTTAGTGCAACTCTGGATAATGAAATAACATAAAAAAATCTTGATTAATGTATTGCCTGTATTTTAATTTCTAATATGATCATTCCCAATTAAACACGCAGTTAATGATTCTTCTGATTTCTCTTTCCAACTATTTTAGTATACTATATATAACAAATAGTTGTAGAATACACTGGACAGTAGACACTTCCAGCAGCCAATGTGTAGAACCAACATAAGTATTTATATGAAGCTCTTTGGCAAATTAAAAAGAAGAAAATAATATGAACTGAAGTTCAAATTTCAGTTTTGACCCATATATTTTGTGGAACTAAGAGTATAGTTGTTTCTTAAAGAGAAACGAAAGCTAAGCCATTTGTACAAACTAGTACAAACCCAGAATTACATTCAAAAAAACACTTTCTCATGTTAAAGTTACATTTAATGTTTGGAAAAAGTGGTCTCCCAACTTATCATTTTATCACCATATCAAAGCAGGTCGTATGACTGATATTTGATCGTACCTCCTAATTTTATTTTTGACCCATATACGGAATTTTGTGCAAAGCCTGGTGGTCTTTGGCTCAAGCTGTAATCTTACACTTAGGTTCATGTGTCAAGTGTTTATCCGGATTCTGGCTTGCTCCTGAGATGGATGTTATAGTTTATGTGTTAGGGTCATTTCTTATCAGCTTAAGCTTTTGAAAGACGTGATCATGCAACTAATCATTTTATCACTCCATAAAATGGAATTAAAAGATCTCCATGTGTTTAGAACTCACAGCTAAAGATAATTAAACCATACCTAAAGCAAGATCAAGATTATATTCCAGACAAAAAAATATGCTTACCACCAAATCAGAAAGTGGAATCTTGACTTTTGTCAGCATGATTTCAGTGTTGTTAGCCCGCCTTAAGTCAATCTATTAAAAGAGTTAAGAGAAAAGTTCAGTAGCTAAAAGCTGAAGAAGAAAACATGCATGCACTTGCAGTTATTGAAACCTATTTTTGATTCACAATGTTGTGTACCGTAGTACATAACAAGAACTACATGTAAAAGACAATTTTGTCTGAAACTTCAGCCCCTCATTTATACATAGCCATGTTTATATATACTGTTAGCATTTTCCTTATAAGCTATTAGCATTGCTTGTAAATCGGCCAGCGCCGTCTTATACACTTTAACCATTGAATCAAAAATAAAAATATTTCAGGAACAAATGAGAACATTTAGTTGTTGCTTGAAAAGAGCTCCACATTTTCTTAGCTAATAGTGACACAGAATAACGACCCTTAGCTATGATACACCTGAATCGACTAGATTTCGTTTCTATGATCTACACCTAAATAAATATCAATGAACAAGAGAGCAGTCAATCAAAAACCAGGTGAACTATTCATAGTGCTGCATTTAGACTGAAGCTACCAACATTGTTATGATGTATAACAAAAATTAAGGCCCTCATATCTTACCAAGCGAACTTTGTCAGGTTTCAATCCAAGAAATTTATGACGACCCTCAGTTTTAGAGATATCATTTTTGGGTACCACTGCTGGGAAGAGTCTTTCAAGTTCAGATACATCAAATTCTGAAGCACTGCATGCAAAATGTTAATTTATAAGAATAGGGAGCAATAGGCAGACTATCATAGGTTACAGTGGTTGTTCATTACAAGGACTAATTATCTTATGGTTGTGTCATGTTTTCTGGAATGATGTTATTGTTGATGGTTCTACAGTTTTTATTTGTGAATTTAAAAAAAACTTTACTTATTCTGTGATTTTCTCCTTTATTTCTTTTGTTTCGCTGCATCTCAGGTTACTGAGCTTTCTTTCCTTTCATATATTGTAAACAGAAATACCTGATAAAATTCCACCTTTTTTTCTTTGAAAAAATAGGAGAGTACTCAACATCTAAAGCAATAAGAAGCAAGCAACATCAGTACAAGACAGTAGCCATCTAATATAGTGGCAAGCATACATTACAGAGGAAGCTGTTTGGTGTGAAACTCACATAAATGTATCAGCCATTGACAAATCCAAAAAGCACATGGAAAAAAATACCATAAGTACTATCCTTCAGGTTCTTAGGGGACCAAAAGTGTTAGATGTTAGAAAGAGAAAGAATAGACAAATAATTACTTTGAAGCATCCTCAGATTTTTGAAGTTCTGCCCATATGCTTCCTTGAACTGCTCTTGTTACTTTCACCCAGTGCAATGGCTTCAGTGATGACCTACAAGGTGCTGAACTCACTGAACTTGTTGGACATATGAGTCCATGCCTAGGTGATATACCTCTAGCATCAACCTGAGAAACAGGCATAGCTGACACAGTAGAAGAAGGAAGTCGTCTTACATGAGGAGAGGCTCGCTGTTTAGGAGTACGAGCTCTAGGAGGTGGTGGAGGAGGAGGAGCGCCACCATGTGCTCCTGGAGCACGTAGTGGAGGTCGAGCTCCACCATGAGTTGCAGATGGAGGTGGAGACAGGATAGGGGCAGCACCTTCTGGGGGTTTTGATGCATTTGAGTGAGAATTTAGCAATGGCTCTAGTGGTGGAGCAGGAGGCATCATTGAAAAGCATTTAACAGATATTGCTGAATGAGGAGGATGAGGAATATATACACCAACATTTTGGTCAAGAGGAGATGGAGGTGGAGGTGAAGGTGGTGGACCTTGAGTTCTTCCTCCTCGATTTGGTAGCAACAAAGGAGGAGGTAACAAATTTTTGGCGTGAGGTGGAGCAGAAGGTGGTTGTGGCAGAAGAGCACCTTTCATATTGGCTTTAGGACATGAGGGTGGTGATGGTGGAGGAGGAGGCAGAGCTGCACTTTTGACAGAAGCTCCTGAGATCACATGGGAATCGAGGAGTGGTAGGCCTTTGGTAGATTCTCCTAAGAGCATAGGTGGACAAGACAGGCCTTTAGCAAATGAACATGAAAGTATAGCTGGTGAAAGAGGAGGCAGACCATATCCGACACTTTCTTGTTGCTTAATCCTTGTTTTTATTACACCGGAATCAGACAGTCTTATACATGTTGGTATTTTCTTTGAAATTGTACACGGAGACTCTTTAGGCGTCAGCATTTGACCATCATATAGTGCTTTCTGTCTGACAACCTTCAGATCTATCTCACTTTCAGAAACACCATTCTCTGTATTATCTTTCCCCACATGCATTTCCATCTTGAACTTCCCTTTGTTTTCTATATCCTGGTTCCCTGGATTATGAGCCTTGTCAACCAGAATGAACTTTTTCCTGTTAACAGTAATCTCTGGGTTAGGTTTACACTCTCTTTGCTCTAATATGCTTTCAGCCTTTACTTTCAGAGCTTGTGCTTCTGACTCACAATGTATATCATGCAAATTTATCATCTTATCTGTAACAATGTGAGCTGAATCATGCTTGATATCACACATTTCAGTCGTATCATCTTCAACAGCTAGAACAACAATGTCCTTTAATTCATGTTGGTAATTGCTCACTTCTATTATATTCTTCTCCTCACATGCAACCATGTAGTCTGCAAGCACAGACATTTCATCATTTACCTTAGGTTTTGTGCTAGTGGTAGGTAATCCACTCATTGTTTGGAATCCAATACCCAGAGTTTCCAAACGATTCTTATCCCGTGGTTCTACCTCATCTCCTATAACTAAAGAGCCTGTATGTCTACCACAACAAGATGTCTCTGAACTGGGCTCATCATACCTTGCAGCAGACCTCTTTATAGAACTTTCCTGCTTTAGCATACCTGCCATAGATGGAGCTTCTAACTTGTGACTCATATTCTCTGGAATAGCTGACACCTTGATGTCACCTACTCTCTCTTGATTAAAATCGCTGTTCTCTAAAGCAATCTTCTCTTCAGCTTCTGAAGTTGATGTGCCATTCCTATGCTGAGGGGGTGTGCTTCTCTCTACAATCATCTTGTCTTCAATTGGAACCACAATGTCCAAATCAACTAATCTTTCAGCAACAATCTCCTTATCATGTTTGAAATTGCCAGTTTCACAAATAATCTCAGCTTGACCGAGCATACCAGGAAATTCTGAGTTGACACCTAATTTTTCCACATCGGCAAAATTTTGGGTGATCATACTCTTTGAGACCTCGTCAGAATTACTCATTTCCAATTTGCACCTTGCTCCCTCTGACAAAATATAATTTTCGTCCTTAGGACTCCTTCCAGGATCTCTTTTGGCATCATGGATCTGGAAATAAGGATCTCTTTTTATGTCATGCCAATCTGAACTGCTAAATGCTTCTGCCTCAAAAAACTCAGCTGCTTCTTTGGAAACACATTGTGTCTCTTTCCTCCCTTCAACGACCATTTCTGTGCTTGTATCAGATATGGAAGCATCAGAGTTTGAAAAGACAACCTGGTTGGGACATGAATTTCATATTTAATTTCAAACCTGTGAGAAACAAAATAGTTGTACTCTAGGAAACAGAAACCAACCTCGATTTTGAAGTCCTTTGGGAAATGATCCTTCGCACTCCATACAAGATCAATTTCATCACGTGTCAATGCCAAAATATTAGATTGGACAAATGCTGTGTTAAACATGACTCTGAACATCATTTCCTCATGTTCCAGATCTTCGTCCAGATGCAGGCATTCGATGACAATATCTCCTTGAATGCAGCAACAAGCATTAATTTTTGTTGTTACAGCCTGAGCGTGCAGTGATAGTTAAATACCAAAAATGTATAACTAGATAAGATAACTAATGAAACAATGGGCATATGTAATACCTGTCTATAATGATGAATGTGCTTCTTGGTCCTTGGTGTTGCGAAAAGCATCTTTGGACTACTGCTTGTGGGTGTCAAATGGTCTTGCCGGTATATGCGAACCATTGGCCTACAGCCACCTTCGCGATCAAACCTGGGAATGGCTTTGATAATCAGGCATTCCAAGGTGAAAGTGGTTTCTCGTGGAGGCCAATCTGACATGCTACCTCGTCTGGATATGTATTGAAGGTATCTAAGATGAGAAGGTTGAGGGTTCAAGGGGGACAAAAGATGAAGGAATTCCTTAGGAGCTTGCTTGTACACCATTTCAAGAGTCTTTTGTTCCCCAGTGTACTGCTTCCCGTAAAGGAGTAAGCTAGCAAGCATGAAGGCAAGGACCAGCCAACCTTCCCGCTCACAGTGCATCAGCAATACATTATGTAGCCCTTCCATTGACAGCCAGCTCTCGCTTGACTTCAGGAAATGGTGGATCATCACCAAAGGGAGCAAAGGACATCCCTTGGACTGCAGCGGGTAGTCCATGACCATGATATCATACTCCGACAAAATGTCTGAAATTTGGCTCCTCTTATCTCTTTCTCTGAAATTACAAACCATGAAGGACGCATCCGGGTGATAGCCCTGCAGTTGGGCAAATGCCCCACCCATATAGTTCTTGTACTCACATTCTCCCGTGGTTTCAGTCGAGAAACAGCAGTCAAACACTGCAGAAACAATTCACCCAAGAATCAGAAGCACGAATCATAAAGGAAAAGACCTTCTGTTTTTTTACACAAATCCCGCGGAACGTTCACATAACGGGCGAATCGAAGATCAAGAACCTACAGCCGGGAGAAACGGAAAACAAAATCGCCGTTCAACGGCTACAAGATCAGCCAAGACCACAAAATTCAACACCAAAAATTTCCAAGATCCTCCAAACACATTTCCAAGAACAAACCCACCAAAAGTCACCACACTCCACCTCAAAACCCTAAAGAACCCAGTCATTCCACAAAATCAATGCTCGACGATGGGTAGATATAGAAGAGCACTACCGTAAACGCGTTCGGCAATCTCCAGCAGCCGATCGGGCGGCTTCCGGAAGAACAGCCTCTTGAACAGCGCCATCCGTCACCGGCAGCGCCACCCCGCTTCCGGCACCCGGCCTAAACCCGAACTCTCGACCGCCCACCGATCGAACCGGCCCCTCTCCACTCCAAGCTGAATCCTGCTGGTGGCAGTTCAAGAACTACCAACGGACCAAGCTCCCCACGAAAGACCAAGACCCTTTCACGGCGGACGGAGATCGATCGCGAGGGTTTCGCGTCCGCGCGAGACAAGAGAAAGAAAGCAAGTGAAGGAAGAGAGAGTGGAAAGCAGAAGTGGGTGTTTGATTCTTTCTTAATCCTTCCTTTACTCTAATCGATTCGTAATGTGGGTTTGGGGGGGAAAGCGGAAGCGGGAAGGTTGCCACATCAGGGGAGGCTTAACGCATCGTGGTGAAATGAACGATCGAGATCAGTCAGAGTTTCCCAACGGACGGACGATTATGCTTTCGCATATACCTAACTTCATGCGTCCGCTCGATCGATCTCCAACGCGATGCGGGATTGACACGTGGCGGTTAGGCGGGAGCTCGGACTTTTCCAAGCAATTAACTGATTTATTAATAAAGATTAATATTATAGATTAGACGTTCTTCCTCTGTGCTAGCCAAACACAGCGAATGGGTCGAGACTACCTCTCTCTCTCTCTCTCTCTCTCTCTCTCTCTCTCCCCCCTATCGGATTCAGTTTGATGTGATTCGGATCTCATCCTATATGAATGTTGGAGACAAGCTGGCTACTTTACAGCTAGCCAAAACTTTGAATGGTTGTTGATCAATAATTACAGTTTTCCTTTTCGGATATCTCATATTTTCTGTATAAATTGCTTCGAGGATTGTGTAAATCGTCATCTTCGTAATGCATTTATTTGATTGCTTCATGAAATGGATGTATGCTGTTAGCATAATCGACACGTATTCCAGCTTTTCTTCAGAGATCCTTGTCAACTCATCACAGAGCGAAACAAATTGGTGCTGCAGATGATGGCTTCGGCCACGGGTGGCACGCTCGTGGATGCTTCCGGAGAAAGGAAAGAAGAGATAGAAGAGTTGAGACGAAGAAAAGGAAGGATGGAGAGGTCTCACCACCCAACAACTGGTCTGCGGAGACAACAAAATGGCGTGAAAGTGAATGATGAACAAGTGGACCAATCGATCATTTCTTCCTCAAAAAGGATTGATGGAGGAAAAGGAAGACAAAAAGCTTTGGACTCATCGATCGAAGCGTGTGACTCATGCTCATCGAGTTCTGATCATAATCACAGATATCAGGAATTCCAGATCTGTGTAGTCAAGTTTCTGACTCTCCATCCTTCTCCACTTCAAGCTTGAATTCATTCGATATTGGGCCATCAGAATCTAGATAACATTAGTACTTTGTATCGAAATCGATTGCACTGCGAACAGACTATGATTACAACAAGTCTAAAGAAATCTGTTTGATTAGCCTAAGAAAATGTTACATACCGAGCAAATATTGAAGTTTCTGCTTTCAGAGTACAATCAGAAGAGAACGATGTACAAACACTTTCTATGACTTTTATCGTGTCAATGTATGTGCAAAGAGGTAAACTGGATACAACGACATTTTTGTCGAAAAATCTGTATTGGAGCTAAAATGAATACCTTCCACATCTTTTAAGTCTGAGCACACTGCTGGTTTGCTGGCGTACCGAACCAATAGTAGATCCGCATAATACAGCATATAGTTGTTCAGAAATTGCGACAAATTCCGGTAAACTAAGTGATCTCACGTTCTTCTTTAAGCCGTAAAACTGCGACTGGTTGCTGATCATTGTTTCTGAAGTTTGTGGTCCTGAGGGAGGGTTGGCTATTAGATTGCACAATGCTGGAAGCAACACCAGCGCACGCCAAGTTACGACTGCTATTCCTGGAAGTGGGCACATCATGGTTATGTTTCCCCTCATATGTTGTTATGACAGATTTGGGATCAGTTGGAGCTCTCTCGACATGCTTCCTGACATTGCATCCGAGATACGTGCACTTGTAATAACTCCTGCACATTGAAATGATGAATATCAAGCACTGAACTGCATTTGTTATTAAAGACCATCAGTTGGGATTTGTATCAATATGGATAGTGCATGTTTATTGGGTTTATTGAGGAGCAAAATGCAAATTTGCTACGAAGCCTGGTCAACACAATTCATAGGCTTGTTGGTAAATGATATATCATTTTTAAAAAAAATAAAAGAGAGTACTATGATATGAAGAACAAATAACTAGAGTTCATAAAAGAAAGAAAAACAAAGTTCATATTGAATTAACTAAAGGCAATCTACGCTCTCTCAATGACGCAGAACATGTCATGATTTATGTCATTACTTAGGCACTTCGAGGGTAAAAATCAATATTGCATAGTCATGTATACGAAGGGAAGCATATTGAAGTGTCTGATCCAGTGAGCAGGCAAAAAGGAGAGAAAGATGACACTCAGTAAAAGACTAATTTAAAAATGAGAATATGATGCTTGTCATGTTGTGCGAATGTGAAACACTGGAAGCTCATAAGAAGCCTTAGAATCATAAAAAGATATATTTCTATAGTACAATTAAAGAATCTGATAAGTATCTGACATGGCTTGTGGGGTGGAAACAAGACTGCATGCAACAATAACAAAACACAAGGTTACCAACCAGATTATGGTAGGATGTGGGACCCGTAGTCCTGTGTCAAATATGCACTACGTTTTATACAGTTGGTGAAGCAATCCACTCCCGAAGACGATACATGAGGATACAGGCTACATTGTGATAGAATAGTACCAGAAAAATTGGCCCTAATAACATAATAATTATGTAGCCGACCCATCCCGGTGTATCTTGATCCACTTGCCTTTGTATACATGACTATGCATTCTTTAGTAACTACCTTATGTGCATCTACCACCACAGAAACAAAGGAACAAAAAACTGTCATGCTGAATGGCATGTATTGAAGCATATCACGCTCGAAAGCTATCGGCGCACACACCATACAGACCCATGCCAAAGCTGACGATATTTAGCTAAGCCAACTATTGGCTTGCACCTAGTAGCATAGAAGTCTACCAGCATGATGCGGAATCATACCATGCCAGAAAGTATCAGCATCACCCAAGTGTCATGAAATGACAATCTTTGCTAGAAAGTGCCATAGAGACTGAAAAATGACACTATTAACAATACACAATGCACAATTTTATGAAATTCTGCATGCACTACAAGGATAAAATGTCAAATGACAAGAAAATAAATTCTTCAAACAGAATATACTATACAAACAATTGCAGTTTTGTCAAAAGACAAATAGCAGAAATTTGTGAAACTAGTACTACCTCGGATTAGGATTTCCTTTAACAACTTTCTGCCCATACTTTCGCCATCTGTAACCGTCATCCAAAAGATCGACCTCGCTTGTTGTTTGCACAACAATCTTAGGTTCTGCTGATGTCGTTTGGGAGGATGCTGATACATTCCTGTCAACCAGCAGAAATATCCTTGTGAAATGAATAAAGATACAAGAGCAACAGTTTTAGTATATAATGCTACTTACATTCGTTTAGCATCAGCATCATGATTGTCCCTTCCATCTGTTTGTGTCTCAGATACTTCTTCCCTATCAGTTGACCCAGATAACTGTTCAGGTGCGCCATAGTCAAATTCTCGATCTCTCTTTGAAGCTGAAGTAGCAGCAGTCATGCCATTTGATCTCCTGAGATTCCCATGATTACCATGAAAACCAGATTCAGGTGTTGAAGGATTGTCAAGACTTTCAGTGATCTCATTTGACCCACTAAGAAAACTATCGCCTTCCTTAAATCGTTTATTTGGGGTAGGACGTTGATGGTTGTGCTGACCCTTGTAAATTATCTCAGTAATTTGACCATCTGCCGAATGCTCTACCTTTTTCTTGACTGGACAATTGGGATGGCTGCATTTATAGTAGCTCCTAGGATACTCACTGCTTCTCACCATTTTCTGGCCATATTTTCGCCAATTATAGCCATCACTGGCAGGTTTATCAACTACAATGGCTGTAGGGTGAGATATTTGATCAGAAAGAGAGCCCTCTGCAGATTCAAATACAGAATTGTTTCGCTTTCGGGTAGGGGTTTCCTGGATAAGTTGCTGTGATGATGGTGGTGTTGTCACAAATTCAGATGGGTATTCTGCCTGACTCAGCATTTTGAATTGGGACTGGGATGCCTGAGCTGTGACCTGAGCCAGAGCCTCTTGATGCGACATTACGAAGGTGCCCTGCAGAGATCCAAATTTAGAGCAACAAAAGAAAAAGATGTTTCACTGATGAAGTTTTTTATCACTTTACTCTGACAGAGAGAAGATCAAAAGAGTATTGCTTAATCAATAAACTCATAGTGAAAAGCCCTTAATATGGAGTCTGTAAATAAGTACTATTCAATAAGCATATCATACTGCTTAAACACGGCAAAAGCATTTCAAACTCTTAGTTGAATATTTTTTAATATATGAACCTTTCATAGAACAACAAACAATAACAATAAAACTCGTAAAGTCTTGACTATTTGGGGTCAAATACATGCATCTTTTACTGACATTGAACTACAAAAGCTATATGCTTATTTAAGTTAAAGAGTATTAAAATATTTATTTATAATTTTCATTAAAACCTTTTTAGGTCATCTTCTACCTCTCTTCGTACCACTAATAGTAATCATTTCACCTCTTAAGAACTTAGTTTGTGACAGCTTGAGCCATATGCTAACTGAAATTAGAAGCAATGAAATCAATTATCCAGACATTTGATAACATCAAACAAGTTGGTTATCGCTAATATGAATTGCATAAACAGATGTTATACAAGAACCTGATAGAAAACAGGATCTAGGGACCTGCTATTCAAGTATCATTAAATCAGCTTCCTTAGGTCAAAAAACAAAATATAATTTACTTCATTGTCTGCCATAGAAAATAGAAATGTGTGTTCTTCAATAACAAGGCCTTTATCTGCAATAGATGGCAAAAGGTGTTATATGAACGCAAATTCTTTTACTCTAAATGCTAAAATCAAAGAAAAAGTCTGAATTTCCGGCAACCAAACATCACTTCCTCCTTCCAAGAATATTTTTTGCTTATCATGGAGAGGTAAACAAGAAGATAAATCAAGTTCGAATTTTTATTAATAGGAAATTAAGATCGAATCCTATGAACTCGCATACCAGGCCGGACGAGAAGAACCCAGGAGAATCCAGCAAGCTTGAGGGGCTTAGTCCTGGGGCAATCGTGAATGCCTGCGGCTGGCTTACCGTCAGGCTTGCAGGCCGGTTCTGCTTCACCCGATTCAATCGACTTACACCACCGTCACCTCCTATGCCTCCTCCCTCCGCCCCGCCGTCTTCCGAGCCACCAGCCGCCACCTTCTCCTGTTCCCAGGAGATCCCAGCCGGCCTCCTCGCCGCTGCCACGGGAGAATTCATAGCTCCGACGAGCAGCTGAGTGAAGGAACGGCACTCCGTCTCGGGATCGTCCGCGAAAAAGCTCGACACCAGCGTCAGCGGGCCGGGGCTGACCTCCGAAGCGCCCCCTCCACCTTCATGGAAGAGACTCGCCATGGAAGAGCGCGGCGGCAGCATGATGGTGGGCCGCGGCGGCTTCCCTGCACCCACCGCCGCCGCCGCCGCCATCCCGTCACCTCCACCTGCTCCTCCGCCTCCGCTGCCGGCGCCGTTCTCCGCCATCCGCCTGCCCCAACCGTCCTCACCTCTCTGCCGCTGTCCTATCTGCGCTCGATTTGGGTTGGGCGAGAGGTCAATCTAATATCCTCACTTAGTATCACACTCCCTTTTTTCCCCCTTTGGATTTGGGGAGAAAACACACGACACACATCGAAGGATAAAAACTCCCTCCAAATCTGAAGAGAAAGGAACGTTGACTTTGCCGCTGGTCTGATTGGCGCGTGACTTGAGATATGCTTCGTCTAATGACGGAACTGCCCCCATCATCGTCTCCTTTCTACAATGCCGATCCCGATCTTTGCCTGAATCATGTGGGCTATAAATCGAATCGTAGAATTTGAGCCAATCACGAAAGTTCGATACCTACGTGCCGGCTGTTGTTTTGCGCAGCCAACCAACGACAGCTGTTGTAGCAGCTTCCACATATCCTCTGAGAAGCCCTCGAGCTGTCTCTACAACTGTAGTGATGTTCGGTTGATGACGAAGCCAAAACAGGTGCGGGTAAACGACCAAAGAAAGAGGATCAAGATCAAGGCAAACTCCACAAGCCAGCCCTAACCTGAGCAGATAATATTTGAGGAGAAAGCATTGGATCGAATGTTTAAAGCATATGGATTGGATTGTCTGTGTGACACTTCCCATACAACAATGCCAAAGCTGAAGATTCAATCTGTTCCAAGCGATCAGTACTTTGTTTTACCGGACTATTCGGTGAAGGTTTTGGAGGACAGTTGATCGCACAGATGTTTCCTTCAGCAGCACGGAAACAACAGGCGTTTGAGGCAGTTGGAATAGCATGTCATTGCTCTTCCTTGTATGGTAGTTTACAAGGAGCCAAAGGGTTCTTTGATGTCGCCTTCCCCAGCATTTCTGCTACAGTTCTACATCGACATTGACTCCCTGGACGAATGACATCCCCATAGACGGCCATCTCAATGATATCCAGCTCCTTATCTGAAGGATAAAGTTCCATGCAATAGTTATCGCCAGTTAGAAATCACAAACATAAGTGGATATCAAGATTCAAGTGCAGACAAGCAACAAATAATTCGATATCATCCACCGGGCGGGATCGCAATCTAACAATAGGTGACGACGAGCAACATAGGTTAGGATGTCTCGGAGATAATACATCACCTATAGTTACTTCTAATTATGCAACATTAGGTAACCTTGTTTTGCCTAAAGATCTCACTGTTGTCTAAGTTACTTCAATTTGGTAGATACTTTGTTGCCTCAAAAGTATGCTAGTGTCAAAATGAAATATATGTAATGTGAGTAGAAAATCCAAGATTATTTTTCATTTGCCTTCCTATTTTAGTAATAATCTCTCATGGGTATAGACCTATCCTTCAAACTACATGAATCCAATTGTGCTTTGCAATTGCTCCACTTTCCATCCTTATCACTTTAATGAAAAGCTAATGGGAAAACATATTTTGAATTTAGCCCTAAGCTTTTACCAGAAATTGGGCAATTTGGCTTTGTATATATTCTATCTTTGTTGCATGCTTTTGAATTCATAGAATTAATGAATTAATCGAAAGCAACAGATTTCAATTTTTCTTCAAGTTCATAGAGAACAACATATAACATGTTTCAGATAAGCTATAGCTGATATCTTCAATGAAAAGAAATAGCAAGGATAAAAATATCTTGTGAGCAAAGACTATTAATGCAATTAGTGCAATGTGGCAATTTTAGGTACCACAGTATGCTTGATGTTATTATTAATAAATTAGGTAAATGTATCATGAGAGAGAGAGAGAGAGAGAGAGAGAGAGAAGCATGTCATCATAAGCACTAACATTAAGAAGGAAGAGAACCTCACCTGTGAACTTGATGTCACATGAGAAGCCTTCCAGTTCAGATTTGTCCACCCACTGCTTGTCTGATTTCAACCTGTTCACCCTCGTCTGTAGAATTTGGCAGTTCTCTGCAGTTGATTCCCCACCTATATCAGGGAGTTCATCATGTATGAGAAGAAGAACAGATTCAAGGGACGATAAGTCCCGGAGTAGTGATAGGGATGATCGGCAGAAAAACGCATCAAGATCAACCTTTGGAGAAGGGGATGATGTGGTCGTATTCGTAGCAGAGGCAGCCTTGGCAGTGCCAGAAGCGCTTGCAGACGACGTTGCCGGCGGCATCCTTGCGCCACCGCTCGGGGTGGCGGCCGGGCACCACCTCCGCCTTCTTCCAGCACAGATCCCTGGCCTTGGCATCGAAGAACCTCGGCCGATCCGTCTCCCCCTCCTCCCCGTGCTCGCGACGAGGACGAGGCGCCGATGGAGCGGCCATGCCTCCGCCTCCTCAACGGCCCTCTCGAATGTTCCCACTTCCCACATATCTAATCCTCCTGATTTAAGATGGTTGGATTTGGGCCATTAAGATGGACCGGGCTAAACCGAAGACCAATTCTTACGAACCCGAGTCGGTCGAGTTTAGTATCCGACCCAATTACTTCCATATCGAACGACTCGTTTTACTTCCACATCAACAGAAACAGATACAGAGATATCCTCTGTGCAAATATGACTCGACCATAATATTAGAGAAGAAAAATAATAAACACAGATATTTAGCGTAAATACCAACACTGTAAACATGTGTACAGACGTTGACAACACTCAGTTGGAGAAAGCATGTCCTTTAAACAGCACAACAATGTCAAATATAGCGAAACAAAATATCGGTTTTCAAGTGTGTAATAGAAGCTGTAGTAGGTAGGCACTTCAGATCGAGAAGATAAAAAGGGGTCCTGTGATAGCTGGGTATGTATCCTCTCGAAGTCACAAGTAGCCGCAATCCTTATTTGGGACCAATGTCCTTCAGTGCGCAAATCTGCTCCTCTCCCATGGCAGACATGACAGTCACCACCAGATCCTTCCCCTCTGCAAAACCATCTTTAATCTGCACAATTGAGAAAATTCAAGTCAATATGACTCCAAAGCTCACTTGCTAGCTAATTTTGCATCCGACCAGGATTCAAATATCACTGAGAACAATGAATTTAGCCATAATAATGGTGTGGTGCCTGATCTCACTAGATGTCGACAAATATGCTCTGTGAGAATTATAGAAAGAGTCAAGGATAATAAAGCATATCCACGGTCTTTGCTATATATAATACAAATCAATAATTTTATGTCTGTTACAAGAGGCGTCTCTTTCCATAAAGAACCAGCAGACCAGAAGCAGACAGAAAATGTCTCTTTCCATAAAGAACCAGCAGACCAGAAGCAGACAGAAAATATACGTAAACATGCCCGTAAGTTGCGTCAATGCTACATAGAAATAAATCTGATGCAGTGAGCACTCTCCACCTTCTAATTGTGGAAAAAAAGTCAACCATGTTCATGTAATATGTTAAATACACAACTATACATGTCCCCCACGATCTATATATACTTGCAACAGTTACCAAACTCAATCCCGCTGCACCTATTGGCTTCTGTTTTCTCACTAGCAATAAGCCTACTGTGTCTGACAAACATGTCTTAAGGATGACTAACACCAGACATCCAAGCATAGAGTAACCAATACAGAATCTGAATTTATGAAATAACTAATAAAAATACTAAAAATTATTGGTCACAGAGACAATTATCTAATATAATTATTTTAAATACATTATTATTTCTATGTCATAAAGTCAAATAAGCACTTGATCCAAGGTATTCGAAGAATCAATCTACATATATGTAGATAATTTTGTTCTACATCTTCGTTACAAGTTTTAAGAACATGTGGTCCAACCACAGATCACAGAAACATCCTACCAAGATAACCATAGACCTAAAAGTTATAACTAAAAAAGTCAACGAATCGTCCACCATAATCTCCAGGCTTTAACAAATGACAGCTAGATTTTGGGTAAATGCCATTATAAACATATTGAGAACTCAAAACATAGTTAATCACAATGTATTTAATATGCACAAAAAAATGAAGAAAATATATCAAGTGGACTAACTTGAGCAAGAAGAGTTTCATCAGTTGGAAGTTTCAGATCATCCTTTGTGTTACCATTTTCAGTCAACAGACTAAGCTGAAAAATGCAGTTAAGAGTCAAACATATAAGGTTAATAAACTAACAATAAAAGATAACAACATGATAGTTTTCAAACATACAAAACCATCTTCAGAGATATCAATAAGCTGATAGTCAGTGCGAGTGACATGGGGAACCTGCAAAATATTGGAAAATCAGCATTAATAAACTTGAACAACAAGTATTCAACCACGGAAGCTGGACAATTACTTACATCACAGTTGTGAGAAGATGGAACAATATCTTCAAGCTTCTTGTTGTTGAAAATGTCAATGCCGACAAAGTGACATTTGGCATGACCGTGCTTTCCAGTTTTGGAGGTTGAAACCTCTACGACCTGGTGCAACAATTGTTAAAATTTTCCAAAAATAAAATAGGATTTAGATGATTAAATTAAATAGATATTCTGGGATTTCACATCAAATTACTACTTAAACTGATATAATGAAAAACAATAACAATAATACCAACAATTTCTGATTGATTAGATGGATCTTTTCCTATCATTTTGCGTTAATAGGCAATATCTGAAGAAGTAGTCCATGCAACCACATAACATGGCAACTTAATGTGGTCCAAATAAGCATGAAGATTTAGCCACATAACCACAAAAAAGCCTGCAGGTGGCGCCAGGATTTATATTGAGAGGGCATGATTCTCAAAGATTATAGTCAACATACAACTACAATAGTCAACTTACTCTAATAAAATTTATTAATAAGCTAATCAAATATTTAAAATAACATGTAAAGCATTTATCCTATCATGAGATGTTTAGAAATAAAGAATATAAATAAAACGATAACAGAGAAATTGTGAATAAAATATATTGTCGCGAAAACAATTCTGAAATGTGATTGTTTAGAATTCTCGAACGAAACTATTCCAATTATTTTACTATCAAAATAATATCAGAAAATATTCAACAGATAAAAGATAAAAATTGCATCTTTATGTTCAAAAAATTAACTGATATTATAAGAGAGGAACAAATGTTGAAAAAAAAAAGAAACATGGTATTAAACCCTCCAAAATCCACCAAAAATTAGTTTGGCCTGAGATCTAGAGAAGAAAGCACGACAGGCTTTGGTTCTTTTGCAAATTCACTGAGTTGGAGAGCGCACACACACGAAAGCCCTATCTTCAGGAAAAAAAAAATTGAAGGAAGAATACAGACTATATGAAATACTGATTACTGCAGAAGTTGCTTAAGAAACCAATGTTATACCATCGATTGGTCACTATATAAAGGACCGGACTCAGATGTGAAAATTTGGATCTGTGTACCATGCGCTGACTCTCAAAATATAAGTCAGTGTAATTTGCATTAGGCAGTCATATCTAACCAATACGAAATGTATCACTATTAACCCGTGAGACCTCATCCCTTCTGAGAAGGTATA